GAGACAGAACAGATCACCGAGCTTGTGCGAACGGTAAGATTGCTTTTAATCTTCTCTATTGGTCATTAATTGCATTACGTTCTCAATTACGAGAGTTATTCAATCAGCTTACGTGTTTGTTTGTCTATTTCAACTCGTTTCCCCAAACAATTATTCGAAGCACCTCGTCATATCCACAGCCTCATTTTTGATTACCTCTTGAAAATGCGTTTATCTCGCTTCACTCAGTTAGCTCGATGTTAACACTATAACCTTCGTATTTCTGGGGGCTAAAACCAGGTCAAGTACCGGGCGGGAACAAATACCCTCGGCATCATCGTCTTCTGCCTCGTCTTCGGTACCATTCTTGGGTCCCTCGGCAAGAAGGGAGCTGTGGTGGTCGATTTCTTCACTGTGATTGATGCTGTTATTCTCAAGATCGTCACCGGAATCATGTGGTAAGTGTGAGGGCGAGTGAGAGAGAGAGAGAGAGAGAGAGAGAGAGAGAGAGAGAGAGAGAGAGAGTGAGAGAGAGAGAGAGAGAGAGAGAGAGAGAGAGAGAGAGTGAGAGAGAGAGAGAGGAGAGAGAGAGAGAGAGAGAGAGAGAGAGAGAGAGAGAGAGAGAGAGAGAGAGAGAGAGAGAGAGAGAGAGTGAGTGAGAGAGAGAGAGAGTGATTGAGAGAGAGTGAGAGAGAGAGAGAGTGATTGAGAGAGAGTGAGAGAGAGAGAGAGAGAGAGAGAGAGAGAGAGAGAGAGAGAGAGAGAGAGAGAGGAAGAGAGAGAGAGAGAGAGAGAGAGAGAGAGAGTAAAAGAGAGAGAGAGAGAGAGAGAGAAGAGAGAGAGAGAGAGAGAGAAAGAGAGAGAGAGTGTGAGAGAGAGAGAGTGAGATAGAGAGAGAGAGAGAAAGAAAGAAAGAAACACACTTGAAAGAATAAATAAAAATGAAAGCCCCTATGCCTCGACGTTCCCATCATTCCCCTGCTAAAGCCTTTCCTCCTTCCTCTGCCTCGCCCCCCCAGGCTCTCCCCCGTGGGCGTGGCGAGTGTGATCATGAGCAAAATCCTGATCGTCGAGAACCTGAGCACCGTCATGAGCAACCTGGGCCTCTTCATCGTAACGGTGGTGGTGGGGGTGCTAATCTACCAATGGATTATCCAGAACCTCATCTACTTCTTCTGCACTCGCCGCAATCCCTTCACCTTTTACATCAACCTGCTGGAGCCATGGGTTACCTCCTTCGCCACGGCATCCACGTGAGTTGTGCGAGAGGGTGCCAAGTCTCCGGCACTACTCCCCCCCCCCACAGCGCGACAATGCCACTCACACAGCAGTCTCTCTCTTTCTATTTCTCTCAGCTGTTTTTTTCTCCTTCGTGTCCCCAAGGAGGAGAAATCAAGGACCGTGTTCGCGCGATCTTCATTTGGAAATTAAATTTGATTCTTGGTATCAATTCATTTGTCTCTTCCCTGATTCGGTTATCCGATGGAGAGTTTATCAACGCTATCAAAGTTAATCAAAATCTATCAAAAATTAAGAAAATAAAAAAAATATATACATGTACTCTTTTTGTTTAGTCTAAATCTAGATTCGAGTCATCAATCATCCGATCCATTAAGATAACAATCACAATCACAAAACAAACAAAATTTTTGGATAAAGAGATTCAAATGCTGTTTTCAAACCGAGGCTTCAAGTTACCCAAACGATGATGACCATATAGTAAAGAACAAAAAAAAGAAAAAAAAAACTGTAAAGAGACTGGAATGTGAGACAGGCACACTCACCAGCCACACTGTCGCGAGTCCTGTAACATCTGACTCATCTCTGACTCATAATGACTTTATCTTTTTTTTTACCGATTCCCATGACTAAACTATTACGCAACCCGTTTCCCAATTCGTGGAACCGACTAACACAGAAACCAGGGACTTTCGACGCTAGGGTTTTCTATATACTTGTACTAGTGACAGAATGTGGAGAGGTTCAGTAGATTAGCAAAGTTCATTGCTATGAGAGATTACTGAACACGTAATCATAGATATATACTAATGCATATACTGTACGCACTCACACTCACCTACACACATACACGCATAAGCACAGGCGCG